CAGTTAGTAAGTCCCGCTAAACACTTACGTCAAGTAGAGAGAGGTTTGCGTAAACAGCACGTGAGACAGCATTAGCTCGGGACTGCAAAACGTTATACCTACTCTGCTGCCATGATTGTAATGATAGATTATCAGGAACAATTCTAAAGTGACTAAGAGACATTGGATTAACCTTAAGCAGCGTTTTTATTCCCTTGAACAAGAGCTTTGATCACAAAACAGCAACGGTAAGACATCATTATTGTTATGGTTTTGAAAACTGTTGTTTTTTTTCTTCTCTGTTCTGGCTGCTTGCTCAGTAAATTTGTGTCATACAGTGATGATACTTATAACGAAATAATCTGTGGAGTATCAGCTTTCAGATGATATGTAGTTTGTGCAGAACATATTAAGTTTTAAAGATCGTTTTTGCTAGTTAGCACCGGAAGTAGCATCTGCCCGTTTTAGCTAAGGGCTAATGCTAACGCTTCTTGTGAGACTTGTGTTTTGTTTCGGTAAAAATGGTTCGTATCGTCAGTTAGCTGAGATTCTTCTCGTTAATCTGGTATAACACATTAATAGGTTTTTAAATATTAAGATGCCCTGAGACACAGTGTCGTGAAAAAAAAAACAGGGTCCCCGCCGGCGGGGACCTTCGGGCTTAACAGGTGAACAGAGCCTTGTTTGCAAAAAAACAACAATAACCCTTTTTTAAATATTAAACAGTGCAAGGAAACGTAGGAAGTAAATCTAGAAAGTACATACGCTAGATAGAGAAAATGTGACTGATAAATGTTTGTATTGGAGACAGACAAGAGGGATCTCATCTCACCACAATAACACTCACTCACATTCAGTGTTTTAGAAAAGTCACTGCAAATGGGTTTAAATGTCCTAAATCTGCACAAGAGAAAACGCTCATGGACAAACGTTTTATTCTTGCAATATATCAGCAACATAGATTTACAAGATTGTTGAGCCCTTATAGTTTTAAAGGTCAACACTTTCAGGATATCACAGTAAAAGAAAACTCTTTCCAGATGTCCGACGAGAGGAAAGGAGGTTAAATCTGAAGGACTTCCTCGGTTCGTTGTGTCTGTAATCTTGATTTACGGTCCTGTGTCTTCTCCCTCTTTTGCAACTTCTCCAGCTTCCTCTCCAAATTCCACGAGCATGTTGTAATCTGTGAGTTATCCATCCTCAACATAAAGAAAGACAAAACCCCACTAAGTGAGCAGAAACAGGTGTCACCTCCGAAACAGCCGCTTATCCGACCTCCCAGTAAGCTCAGCAGCTAAACCGCCCCCCCCCGTGAGAGGTGAGCATGACATTAAAGGAAATGATAGGCTGGGTTAATGGCGACACGCTGCACAGAGGGAAGCGAGCTGTGTCTGTCAAATAAAGGGTTTAGCAGCCTCTTGTTGTGGCGCTCTGTTTACAGAAAGGGGCTACGGCTGAGATGCTCCGTGACTTTGCTCCGGGGCGATGTGGCGCACATTCAAATGTTGCTGCGCTGCTTAAAGGAGAACGAGGAATAATGCAGGAGGGAAAGTTTACTGGGCTCCAGAGCAGGATGTTGCTGGTGTGTGTGTGTGTGTGTGTGTGTGTGTGTGTGTGTGTGTGTGTGGTGTGTGTGTGTGTGTGTGTGTGTGTGTGTGTGTGTGTGTGTGGCCTAGCATTACTATACTTGTGGGGACCTAAATCTGTTTACACAGTCACGTGTGGGGACTCGCCTCCCTTATGGGGACACAATGGAGGACCCCATGAGGGAAATCATTAATTTTAGGGTGAAGACTTGGTTAGGGTTAGGATAAGGGTAAGGGTTAGGGTTAGGCATGTGTTGGTTATAGTTAAGGTTAGGATAAGTCTTCAGGAAATGCATGTGAGTCAATGTAATGTCCCCTGAGGCCTGTACTACGACGCAGGATTTTCGCTTAGCCGGCTAACTTCAGGGAAAACTCGGGCTTTCCGGTCCTACGACGCTGGTTCTCTTTTTAGCGGGCTAGATCTCCATAGTAACTTATGCTGTGCAGCTAACCTGCCCCGGAGCAGGTTAGGTTGTAGGCTAAGAGCTCAACTCAGTGAAAATACTGCCTGCTGACCAATCAGAGCTCAGTGTGCGGAGTTTAAAGCGATCAAGTCATATTACAGGAGAAAGGAAATACAGAAAAACTGCTGTTGCAGGAAAGACGGCCGGCAAAAATCACTGACTGTGTGAACGTGAACATTAATAGAATATCACCTCCATCTTCAGAGCAATCTGACTATTATAACATTAGCGTTAAGAAAGCTTACTTAAATATCTGCCACAACATAAGTAACCGGAGGGGTAGGGTTAGGGTTAGGGTAATGTTGTGAATGGAGTGGCCCATGGTGGTGGTGGGGTTATGTTATGGACGACGAACACAGGCCACTCAATTCACAACATTACCCTAACCCTAACCCTAACCCTACCCCTCACACCAGATACTGACTGGTTTTCGGACCCCCCCAGACCCCCCCCAATAAAGCATAAATGCACGTTTCAGAGTGGCCTTTTATTGTGGCCAGCCTAAGGCACACCTGTGCAATAATCATGCTGTCTAATCAGCATCTTGATATGCCACACCTGTGAGGTGGGATGGATTATCTCGGCAAAGGAGAAGTGCTCACTATCACAGATTTTTTCAGATTTGTCAACAATATTTGAGAGAAATGGTTATTTTGTGTATATAGACAATGTTTTAGATATTTGAGTTCATCTCATGAAAAATGGGAGCAAAAACAAAAGTGTTGCTTTTATCTTTTTGTTCAGTGTATTTAAATGAAGGCAAAACAAAAACAGAGAAAAAACAAATTCATTTTTGAGATAAAGTTTGATAGGCAAATGTTTTAGTTATTACAAAATTGAAATGAACTGAGAGGCATTTAAAATTACTTTCGCAATTACCTATTAAAATTCAATTATTGCTTTAATCATTTGAAGGCAGAACAGGAGATTATAATCATCAAACAACAACAATTTCCGAAGACTTATGAATGCATCATTGAAATGCAAATTAAGTTTTTCAATTCATAAAAGCATCTTTTTATTAATTTGTTGTAATGTGTCGTTAATAAAATGGCACACTTTGGTCTCCATACCTGTAGGCTTCTTGAAGACGTACCTGCTTTTAGTTTCTGAATGCAAAGCAGCACCAACACTCATGCAGACTATTTATAATTTTCCACAGGCATTATAAAAACCTGGCCAAGTGTCACGAGCATGATGCTGTGATGAAAGCTTTTACGCCCAAACACATTAGCCTGATGTTTACCGTTAATAAAGACCTGATGTAATGGAGGTTAATTCTTGCACTGGAGGGCTGCCATCCCATCTATCACGCAGGTTTCTGGATGTCAGTGTGCAGCTTTTGGCAGAGCTGAACCAGGCGAAGGTTGTGCAAGGAGGATCACCTGTAAGAGGGTTCTTTTATTGGTGAGAGATCAAAGTGCTCACGGGGTAATGGAAAGATTGTGGTTGTGTAGATGGAGCCAAGAGAAACAAGCCCATCAATTAAAGGAACTTCTGCAGGCGGACAAACACATGGGGGTGCATACTGATTATTTCATGGATCATTACACTGAAAACTAAATCTGGTTAATGCTAACAATAGACACAAAGTAATACATCTTTTTGCTACATGATATTGCCTTGAACAACAACACTTAATGAGTACAGCCCTGCTTATCTGTGGCTCCACTTTGGCACAGAGGTGCTTTGTGCTAAATGTCATTATTATAGCATGCTAAAAAAAATTGTTTTGTAAAGCATGCATAATGTTTAACATGCTCACAGTCTTAGCTTAGCGTGTTTGCATGCTAACACTGGCTACTTAGCACTTAGGTATAGTCAGTATTGCAGGTACATGGTCCCTCATTATAAACACCATTAGGATATATCCTCTGGAGACCATTGTGTGATGGGCTGTCGATGTAATAAAGTTAGCGTTGCTTATAACATAAATCAAGACAAAAAAGCAACCCAACTACTAAGATAAGTTTAGTAAAGGATCACGTATCTCATTACAGAAAATACGTATGTTTGAAATGTCCGTTATGTTATGGATTTAAGATTTTAAATGTCACTGTTGACACAAAGACTCTTCAATATGCAAAAACAAAATCCAAGACAATTTACTTTGTTAAAAAGACATAGTAGAACAAAAAAGGCCCTAGTCAAACTGTACTTACCCTATCATGTAACTGTGCTTTTGGGCAACAACAGCATCAAAGAATCACTCTAATAGACTCAAGAGATGAAGCTCAGATTCACAAACTGACTGACATTTACTGCAGTAAAGGGGCACGATGTATGTTCCACATTTGAGCAGAATTTGAATACCAATGTAAAGAGGATCAGTTGAAAAGACGTCCTGTATCTCCCCGCCTGTGAGTGCCTCACTAATGCAAACCCCGGTGTGCTTCCTCAGTGCAACTTAAGCAAAAGCTCTGATGGTCGACTCTGTCCGAGGCATGACGACATGTTTTCTGACTGCACAACCCTCTCTAAAGTTATCTTTCTTATTCAAATACTACAAGTCAATAACGGATAAAAAGTCAAGATGTGCCAAAGGGATTTCTCTGAGTCTACTTCTTGTCATCAGATCAGTTTCTTCCAACACCGGTAGGCTTTAATGCATTAATGGTGTTTGGTTAGGCTGTCACCTTTGACCCCTCTGAACAAAAACAGTAGCAGTGAGCGGCTCAGCAGACAATGGGAACAAAGCTGGACTTAATAACAGGAAACAGTGATGTTCAGGGAGATTACCTCGGTGTGTTTAACAGATCACTTACACAGGTTGTTGCAGAAAAGCCAGTTACGCTTGTGCCACAGCTTAATGTGGTTTCATGTTATTTAGTATCTGTGTCCATAAACCCCTCTGTTGGACTCAGAAGAAGACATCGGCTGCCAGACCTGACAGACTCTCTTCTGCTTAATGAAACCATTGTTTGATCCCGGTTTAAAGCCAGGGTCGAGGAAAGAAAAAGCAAAACAGACAAAGGTTGTAAACAGGATGGAACAGCCTTCCGTTTTATTCTAAATTTGATATGTACAGGAAAAAAGTGGCTGCATACATTTCTTAATATATCATGTAAAAGTTCGCAAAAACAATTGCACATCATCAGCTTCCATTTTCTTTTTATACTTTAAAACACATCATGTTACAGCATGGTTGAAGGCAATGTCAAACGGGATACAAATACACTGATATCCGCTCGTAAAGTGTTGGCTCTGGAACATCAAATACAAAAAAGCTTCAGGAAGGAGTACCCCATCGAATGACACATTATCATATGATATTAAAAATGTCTAAAGATCACACTGTAGTGTCACTGACAAACAAATCACATCGTGTCCCTCTTTGTGTAAAATATCGTGATATATATCAGGCACTTATCGACATCACACCCCGTGGCTTATGACGTTGTGAGCAAAGGTCGGAAAAGATCCTTCGATCGAGACGCCCCTAGTGTTCACAGCACTTTTTCTGAGTGGAGATATGTTTTACCCTACACTGCTTTGATTATTTGGTTACAGTTTCATCAGCCCCATATTGCGTTCGTGTCATCTTACCTAAAAGCATGCAGAAAGGATTTGTTAGTTTAGCTTATAGCAGAGTAGATTTGTGAACTTTCCTCGGGTTAAAATACAGGTTTAAACACCGGGAAATGCCATTAAGGTCATTTCTTCTTCATCTTCTTACTTTCATTTAGTACCCCTACTCAGCCTGTAGCTTTCCCAGCAAGGGGCTTCATTAACCAATAGGAGATAATGCATGTCATGCGGCTTCGCTCTGAATATGGAGTGTGTAGGAGTGAAGGGCAATTACACACCGCTTGTTTGTTTTCCACAGCTCGATGATGGCCGTCTTTTTTTTTTTCTTTTGTATTTCCCTTTTGTTTTAAGTTTCACCTCAGCTCGATCTCATCTGTCTGCTCACAGGCAGAGAGCATGATGTCACAAACATTAGGGACTTCAATGCGGGGAAGGTTCAGACTCAGAGAATCGGTGGTGGGATGGTGGCAGGAATTTTAAAGCGTGTCTCATCAATTCCCATGTTTTTTGTTCCTGAATTAAAACGACCGCACACAGTGGGCTAGCATGAATCACAATGAAAACGTAACTGGTTTAACCCAAATAACAGAAATTCAAATCGTTTTTATTACTTTTGTTGAGATTGTCTCGACCCTATTAAAGTGGAGGTTAGTTAACATTTCATTTGTGGTCCTCATAGCAGATTCCAAACATAGCATTGTCTCTTGAAGTGTCGTGTTTTAGGCCCAGTCGAGACAGCCTTTATCACATTTTCCAGGCAATTAAATCTGCGTGAAACTTTGGCACCGCAGGTTGAGCTATTACCACGCAATTATTTTTAAAAGGAGGAAGCTAATTATGCTACCTGGCTGTCCAACTCTCTGTAGCATCAACTGCTCCACAAAATAGGAATGATAACTACACAGAAGTTGATGCATCCAAATACTTATTTAGCAGTGAGAGCCTACTGTGCTGTCAGTGACAAACGTAACTGACCACTAATTGGCTAGCTTGCTAACTGTCAGTCAGCGGACTGACAGTTAGCAAGCTAGCCAATTCAGAGAGCTATTGTGACTGCTAGCAATGTTCTGGCGGGCTAATTAGCCCTTCGATTAAGTTACTAAATCTCGGTTTTAGGTTGACACGCGTCAAAGAAAACATAGGTAGGGTTCTAATCTTTATTGCCTCACTTACTTTCTTTTAAAATGTCTGGAAGAAAGCAGTTCTAGTCATTTTTGGGAGAAGAGTGTCGGCTAAATGCTTAAAAAGGTTAAAATACAGAAAGCAATTGAACGCAATTAACTCCTGAGGACAATTGCACTACCCTTTTGTTGAAAAACAGGAGAAAAGCTCCAGCTAATCTCACACTGGCTTATTGTCTCGCTACCCATCTTTATTCTGGATTTCTTTTTTTTGCTGCTGCTTTAATTCCTCCCTTTATGTCAGAAGCCGGGCCCTCTGTCGGTTCCTCTGGTGGCAGCGCTCGCTGGCTCTGGCAGGCAGCAGGTGGCTTGTGATGAAACATTCAGTGCAGAGCCTGACTCGGGAGACGTGGGGAGGAGGAGGGGGAGGGTGGTGGGGGGGGGGGGGGGAGGGTGATATGAGAGGAAGGTGGGGAATGAGCGAAAGAGGAAAGGAGGATAAAGGTGGGGGTGTTGAGGTAGAAGAAAGAAAGGTAACAAACCGAAAGGCGACAAGAGGAGGAAAGGAAGCCAGAGATCCAGACAGACGGGCCAGCAAGCAAGCCCAGAGCGGAGCAGGGGGGCCAGGCAGAGGATCAGAGCTGTCTACCCTCAGCCTGGGTCTCCTCCACGGAGATAACACACGGTATGAATCATTTATGAGGGGGGCTTTTTATCATTAACACACACACACACACACTGTGCCCTCCTTTTTTCATACACTTTGCCTTGTTTTCTCTTCTCCCCGGGGAGCACTCGAGTGAGAGATGCTCGATCGCTGAGGAGTGGAGAAAACAGAATGCGGAGGAGAAGTATCGGTGGGGGTTGAACGTTAAAAGAAATGAATGGAAAATGATTTGTGAGCGACGGGACGAGTCATCCACGGGACGCTTTGGAAAGCCACGTTCTTGATGGTGAAACATGTAAGTTGTCACATGCCCACACATAAACCCACAGAAGGTAACGCCTCGCCATGGGCTCATCAGAACGCCCACTCCCTCGCCTGTCTGCCCATTTGATTGTCAGAACACGGTGGTGCCAGACCTCGATGAATCAGAGTCCTGGACAAATGTGAACATGCATCGTGTTTGTGAATGCAGAGAAGGCACTGAGCGTCTGTAGGAGGCTGACTGACTGACGGGTTTAGGTCATCGGCACAGTGAGGGATTTAACACAAACAGCCACATACTGAGCACACTTCACATCTGTTTACCTCTAAGATCATCGCTAGGCTATAAGACCTCTAGGTTGTCCCTTTTTGTAGCTGCTGTCTCTTCAAGGTAATCCCCTTAGCTCCTGTAGCAAGTTCTCTGATCAGCATTTTGTCCATTAGTCCAAGAATACTCCTCAAGAATAAAAAAGTCTTCCTTTTTCTGAACCGATTCTATTAAGCCTTGCTAACTGCGAAGGTGAGGGCGGCACATCATGGCGGTACGGACCCTTGGGGGAGGCTGGGTCCTTCAGGTGTGCTGAGGGGTATCCTTCATAGCTGCTGCTAACAATGCTCTCCTGCATTAACTTCCCTTTGGCTTCCTGCTCTCGCCGCCTCTGTTCCTGCCTCAGGAGCTCCTGGGCCTCCAGAAGGACGCGTGCGTTGACACCACCCCCCCCAGGGTAGCCGTTCCTGGATCCCTGGTAGCTCGAGTACCGTGGGTTGTCCTTTGCCGTCTGGAACACTTCGCCAGGAGGGCAGGCTTTGTCCCACGAGTCCTGGGAGACGGTGCTGGAGTTCTTCCTGGGTTGCCTGGTGTGGGAAGAGGGAACAAGAGAGGAACATGTCAGATGTGACTCCGTGAACCCCTAACCCTAATATGGGCCAGTGTGTAGTGAAGACGCTTACATTTCATTAAGCCAACACTCATCCAAAGCAAGTAACAATTAATACAATCAACCATATAGATACCATTAAGAAACATGTAGGCATATTTGCTTTTTTTCAAATGTGTGTTGGGTTTAACGGCCATGGTACAAGTGCGTTTTCAGACTGTGACGGGAAATGTGTAGCCTTCTTGCTGTCCTTATATCAATGGAGAGCTTGTTCAATCATTTTGAACCCTCTTTGCCACATATTGTCCTCCGGTCTGGTAGGAACAATCTCACCCCGACACAAATATTAGTTTAAAGACTATTACCTCTTGGGATAAGCCTTTGTTTTTGTATTTCTGCGGAAACGTGATTATACTGTCAGCCATATGGTAGCCAAGTATCACATTTAATATAAGTAAGACACCATTACAGCCTCACAAAGCGCCTCTGGGCAAGTATCAGCCCACGGTAAAAAGATACAGGGATAGCTAACCATGTCAAAGTCCCCTTCCAGCCCATTAGCTCCATTTCGAGACAGACGGAAACAGCCATGGGATCTGACAGATAGTAACTGCAGGCCCTCCGCAGGTGGATAAATGAGGCAACCATCTTGTCCACTTTGGATGGAGTATAGAATTCGATATATGACGGCTGACACTTGTCTTAAAGGCACGGTTGGTTGTTATGCTTCAGAGGACCTGCCCTGCCCTTTACCAGAAAAAAAATCCAGATGTGTGACATCACCTCTCATTTCTGCTTGGCTAGCCTCTTTGTGGCAGCGCTGCCTTTGTGTATTAAGTGTGTCGTAGTTTGTAAGTGTGTGTGAGTCCATACGATATGCATGAGTGTCCCAAGCCCCACAGCTCCACCCATTTATCTCAAGGGCAAAAGTAGAGCAGCGAGAGAAGAAGACGACACACAAAAACATCAATTGGCTTTTGACTCGGAGCCATGCATAATTAGCAGGTTTATCAGCCAGCTGTGAAGAAATCATGTCATTCCTGTGTTTGGATTTGAGTAGGAAGGAGAGAAAGAAAAACCCTTAATGAGAATATAAAAGGCCTTTGTTTTTATTCAACTGAAATTGAATGCAATTGGGAATGGATACGCTTCCCGATCGGTGAGATAGGAGAATATAGCCCAGGTTTATTCTTGCACACGGTTGACTGATTCCAATGTTCAGAGACAGGCGTCCTCGGCATCTGATTTCATTTCATATGTTGACAAAGAGGCCAAAGCTGGTGTGCCTCCCTGCTGAGAGATGCAAACCAGATCACTCCCTCTGTCTGATGCCGTGCCAAGGGGGGAGCATGTACATGTGTGTTAAATGCAGAAAGATGTACACGGCTCTGTATTCTGTACATGCACACTGTGAAGCATGACAGATGATACAACAGAAAGGGAGGAAAGGTGACAGAGTGAGATTGAGGGGAAAAAGGGAGACTTTGTGAGAGGTTGCAGTGCAGGGCATATAGACTTGTGGTTGTGACATGCATGCATGTGAGAGCAAATGCCACTGCAGCTGTTGAAGTCAACCTCTGGTCGCCATAGTGACATTGCTTTGGCTCTGAGATCAATGGTGCTCGTCGGTGATGGATCTGAAGGCCCTTCATCCGGCCGTCATTGTTTTGAATGGCAGTGGTTTATAGTCACTCAGCTCCTTGTTTAGGAAAAGGGTCTCCCCCAGAAGGAAACTGACCTTTATCTAAAATGAAAGCTGTTTTTAAGGAATGTTACAGCCATAAATCACGTCTCCATTCACAATCCACTCATGAAGAACGCCGCCCTGCATGAACAACATATGAATCCCATCAAGCCTGTGATCCGCTAAACGCCATATTTACTCTATGTCTCTGATTTCCTTCAATGGTATGCTCTAAGTCAAACAATAGTTAGTGTTCTCAAGATAGTACAGCGGGGGTTATCCAAACAGAACAGTCTCTTAATGGAATTAGCGGCAGAGTGAAGGAACGTGGCCACAGGATGTTGCTTCTGACCGTTGGAGCGAGACTGGAGTTCATTAATCTTTCAGCAAAGCTGCCTGCAATATTTATCAAGGAAGGGCTTTACGTCGATAACAGAGGCTTAGGAGTAAGATGGTGAAGTCATAGTAGATAAGTTTCTAATGTTGTATGTATTGTGAGTGCAAGTTGATGATGTGCACCAGGACACGTCTGCTTGGTTTGACTATGGCGGGTGTTTGAGGATTTCAAAGAGTAATTACTGACGGCTTAGGGAAACATAACTTTGATTAACATTTCCCCCTGGACAGTTCCTTCCTGAACTGACTAAATAATAAAAAATATATCTTCTTCTGGACCCTGAGGAAAACAAGTGTGCCTTAAATGTTCAAGTTCATATTAGTATTTAGTGCCTCTGCTGGGCCATGTTTTCATGCTTTAAAGGTCCCATGTCATGGCCATTTCTACTGATCCCCCCTGTGAGCCCAGTGTGCTCTGATTGGTCGGGACGTTTGCGAGGCTCGCTGCTCAATGATCTGGCTTACTGGTGTGGTTTCCGGGTCGGCGATAAAGCGAAACTCATCCTGAGCACACAAACACTCACAGCCGAAGTAAAGACAATAAGTGTGGCTTGATATTGAGAAAGAAAAAGGTTTCTAACGCTGTGAGAATGGGTCTGCGGAGAGCATTTCTCCACCATCCCAACTCGTCTGTTACCAGCGTTCAGGGAGCTCGATGCAAGTCAATGGGACTCCCTGTTAGTTGAAAATATACGCTAAAGGTCCTGGTGTGTGAGGAGCTCCGCGGATTGGTCCATTTTGGTTCCCGGAAGAAATAAATGGAAAAAGAGAAATGTCCAACGAGGCGTTCTGGGGCAGCACAGACAGGTCTTCTCTGTGTTAGAGTTTTACTCGCTACAGGGTGTACTTTGAGGGTTTGTGACTCTGCAGACCGCTTACATGCAGAAAAACCTTCATAACACAAGGGGACGGGTGATAACCGGAAAAGCATGACATGGGACCTTTAAGTCAAAAAGCTCTTTATTTTTCTCATACTGCCTGTGCAGCACCTCTTTTCACCCTCTGTCTGAAACCAGGCCAAATCCAAGTTACTCTTCCGAACTTGTATTTTATTATTGATATGAACTTTAAGGCTAATGTAGACGTGGCAGTGCATGACATTAAGGATTTTGGGAGATGGCCCTGTGGGCCGTCAAAGCTAATTTACAGATGGCCCTGAGCCCAATGGAGATTGCCCTGAAAAATGTGCGCGGACATAATGACGCACGAAGGGTTTTGGGGGGCCTCCCCCTAGAACATTTAGATTTGTACAGGTCTTAGATGCTGTCTGGTGCATTCTCTAGACTGAATTATAAGATGAACCACCACAATATTATATTATACAATTTCAAGTTTATTCTTCATTTCACTTGTTTGTTTGTTCTTGTTTGTTTGCTCGCTTGCATGCCCTGCATAGCTATATGAAATACTTAAGTTGTTGGTCAAGACACTTTCCATCTGATGAAAGCAAATGCCTTCCCAGATGGAAACAAGTAGAAAACATTACATTCAGTTATTAATGCCAAAACAAACATTATTTACACTATTATGGCCCCTGTTAAAAATGTTTGTAATGTTATCTACTGTAAGTTGGTCGAACGAATGCCTTCTCATCCGGAAGCTGACCGAGCAGACCCGAGCAGTAGTCGAGAGGAGCCGAGCGCATCCGCGAAGCACACAAAATGGCGACGTCAGAGTTCCCGTTAGCCGGCAAATCTAAATCTCTTCGGTCAAAATGTCCGGTCAAAATAATTTCCCTTTAGCGCAATACCGCTTCAGTTGCGCCACTTATGTGACAGACAAGAAGAGTATGTGACAGACATGAATAGTCAATTCTAATGTCTAACACTTAATGTGGAGAAAGAGATTTCCTGTATGGGTTGATTGTGCGTTGATCTGTTGGTAATGCCTCGGGGTTCCGGTGGGCATGTAAACAAATGCATAATGCTGCGCTATACTTTGTGGCCTCACACAGTTGCATAGCGACACTTATTGTTTAGGTGTCTTTTAATAAGCAGGTAGTCATATCATCTAGAACTAGCTGGATCTGATCGATATGGACATAAACGCGAGTGAAGTCTAATCTGACGGGAGAGAGAGATCAGCTGCTGCGGTGAGCGGACAAAACACACACTTCAGGTTAGAATATCACACGTAGCTATTTTAATTACCTCTCAAACTACCTGAACTAGTTACAGATATGTTTAGTTTTACTGTCGGGTCACTCATTACTGGATCCGCGAGCTGCATGATACTGGCATAATAGATTGCCCGATCGGGCAACCAGCAGGTGAGGCTTCATTGCCCGAGCTAAATACTAGATGGCCCCGGGCCATCGGGCAGTCCTTAATGTCGAGCCCTGCGTGGGGACATATTGATACTGGGCGTTGCACTCCCCATAAATACTGACATTACTCATAGTTAAACTAGTCAGAAGTTTCTTGGCAACTTGATGAAACCGAGTAACTCATTAGCAAACACTAGAGAGTCTGTTTCATCTTGACATTTTGTGTTAAAGTTCACAGTAAAAGTACATTTTCAGAGTGTTCCATCTAAAGTGGATGAAAAATTAAAGGGTCTTTTGAAAGTTTTCACACATTTACATCATGTGGGTGTCAGATCATGTAGAGCCAGGTTTTGTCTATTGTCTTTGAAAGCATGCATCAAAGGTTTACTCTGGAAGTTAAATAGTTCACAACACACACACACACACACACACACACACACACACACACACACACACACACAACACACACACACACACACACACACACACACACACACACACACACACACACACACACACACACACACACACACACACACACACACACACACCACACACACACACACACACACACACACACACACACACACACACAGCACTTCCTGGAACAACAAGCAGTCATATCACGCAGATCAAAGGGAATTACATTAAGGGAGAGGAAAGCAATCATGTCAGATCTGTGTGAGAGGGTAACATGATCTGTCTGTCTGTGTCTGTGTGTGTCTGTGTGTGTGTGTGTGTATAGGTGTGTGGTTTGAAATTGACCAGCTGTGACCCTCTTTCTTACTCGTATATAATCTGCTCTCATGACTATAATAAGCCACAGTGAATGTGACATAATCAGACAGGCGTACACACAAATCACTTCTTGAGATACATTACGTTAAATCACAGATCTAAAATAGATACAAACACAGTCACAACCTCCTGGACGCATCTTACATTAGACGGCAGGAACACGAGAGCACACACATCTCCTATAGCAGCACATATTGATTGTAAGACAGACAGAAACAAACATGTTGGGAAAATACTGAATGTACTCTTCCTATCTCAGAGTCCACATGATAACAAAGGTATCCCAACTGTAGCTGTGAACATGACAGGATGTGTGATTACCTAGAAGAGCATCAGGACTGTTTGAGGCAGATGATAGCTATGTGATTAACATGATGATTCAGCCTCTATGGAGAGAGACATCAAGCATGCTCATTTCTGACGTGGAGCTAATCTGAAGTAAACATTGAATACTGCTTTCTATTCCTCCATCTTGTGACTGTGTAACTCCCTCTCTTGGATATCAGCATGTGAAGGACACTGTTCAGGAACTAGTTGATGCTCTGTATGTGATGACTACTTCCATTCTGGAGAGGATCACAGACACATGGATCCTGAGATTGAAGCTCAAGCCAGTAACGAGTGATTATTAACATTTTTAAGTATTCAGAAAAAATCCGATTTTTGAGAGAAAGTCAGATTTTTGTGAAAAAGTCAGAATTTTTAGAAAAAGTCAGAATTTTTAGAGAAAGTCAGAATTTTCAGATTTTCAGAAAAAGGCCAACATTTCGAGAAAAAACTCAGTATTTTGAACATTACACTCTTGTATATCAGCATGTGAAGGACACTGTTCAGGAACTAGTTGTACCAAATGCTCTGTATGTGATGACTACTTCCATTCTTGAGAGGATAATAAATACATGGATCTTTAATATTCAAGCTCAAGCTGGTGACGAGTGATTATTAACATTTTTTCAGGCAAGTATCCAAAAAAAAGTCCACATTTTGAGAAATTGTCTGAATTTTGAGAGAAAGTCAAACATTTTCAGATTTTTAGAGAAAGTCAGAAATTTTAGAGAAAGTCAGAATCTTTTGAAATTTTTAGAGAAAGTCAGAATTTTGAGATTTCAGAAAAAAGCCAACATTTCGAGAAAAAACTCAGTATTTTGTACATGACAGGATGTATGATTACCGACAAGACCCGATTGAAGCTCAAGCCCGTGACGAGTGATATTTTTCTAACAAAACACATGAAGCCTGTCTCGCTCTTGAGTCCGTCTTTCTTACCGTGGCAGGGAGCTGTACTGTCTCTGCGCCTGGGCGAACGAGTCTCTCTCCTCCTGTCTCTGCCTCTGCATCTGGACCTCCACGGACACCGAGTGGCGCCCCGGCTGGCTGTACCCGCCCTGCCCGTTACTGCTGGCGTTCGTCTGAAAACAGAAAGACAGCAGCTCCGTTAACTCTGATGTCACGTCCTGATCGTCATAGTATCATCTAACTCATTATTCCACACACTTAATGGAAATTATGTGCAATAAAATCAAAGGAAATGTGCACTGGGTGAACAAATGTGATATTATGTTATTCTTAATGCAGCATTGTGTTGCAATAGTGCTGTATTTAATCTACTTTCCCATTTGATGTATCTTAAGGATACTGACATCTATAGTACAATATCTCAACGTAGTTAAAAATAGGTAATTCTTAAAAGGGTTGAAAGCATAATCCCAAAACCTAACTTTGAACGGTTTTCACTGGAACTACTTTCTTCCTAAGAAGTAGTCCCAGTCCCAGAAGAAACGGTTTACAGTAAAGTCTGCGGGAAAGACATGTCTCTTGTGACTCGATGCAAGAATACAAATCTGTTTTCTTCGTCATTTGGCTGAACTGACCCTTTAATCACGGCCTTATTGTGGCTTTAAGAGCAACATCACCATCTGAAGTTATGGAACTATTTCGCCATCTTGTAGATAGTCCCATAACACTTGGTTTAATATAAATACATCCAAGTATAAACATTAGTTCTTTGGTCATTTGGGTGAAGACGACTGTTCTCTGGTAAAGCTGAAATGGCTGTGGGACAAGTGGAAGTTTTACACTCCCAGGGTTTTCAGAGTTAAATGAAACACTCCCAATGATGAACCGCCTGCAAGATAGATTTACACAAGTCAGATGTTAAGGAGCCAACTTGTGAAATCAGTGGTTTTATGTGAGTCAATCAGATCTATCTATTTGATGTCATTTGTCCTCCACATGTTTCAGACATTAACTATAAGCTGCACTTCAGAATATAAATAACCTCTAATAACGATTTGATAATAACAGAATCAATTCACATAATCATATATCCACATTTAAGAAAGAGCTGCGTTACATTAAAAAACCTCAAGTCAATTTTACTTTGATAAAGACAAGATTTAACAATTCAACATTTTCTCTATAATAGCTCTTAATAATTGTTTGACCGCTCCAGTCATGGTGATTTTCATCCTGTATTGTGCCTCAATAGAGAAGCGCAGTGACGCATCCTAAAACCCGGAAGTAAGTTAGCATTTTTACAACGTCCGGTTCCTTCGATAAAAAGCAATGCAATTTCTCCATAGGGTTTTGGAAAATAGCTCCAAATAAGGTCTGTGTTTGACACAAATTGAAGAGACAGATGTTTTTTTTGTTCTACGACATTAAATACATCAGCAGTGACCCCGCTGGTGATTTCTGAAGAGTTGACGTGTCTGAAAAACGATGGTTGTTACCGAGTGGCTGAATAGGACTACAGAAGTTGTCCAGGCCGTTGTACGTCATTACACCGAACACGTAAACACTCCTCTAAGTTAGTTTGCCCTGTTCTGCTTGAAAGCAAGTACCTGCCTCCTGCAAACTGTTCAAACACTTCAACTTGTACCATTTACAATCTGTATGTTTGAATACCGATCTTAAGTTGGCGTGACGTTGAAGCAGCGACCCTGCTGTAGTTCCTTGATAGCATAACGTTAGCATTTTGCTTCTTGCGACTAGATTTATGCTTCGAAAATTATAAAAGTAGGATAGACATGTGGATATTATCCGGCTGAACAAAACGTGATCCGTCTCTTAAATGTGTTTCAACCACAGACCTGATTTCCAGCTATTTTCCTAAATCCTATGGAGAAATTGCATTGCGTTTTTGACGAAGGAACCGGAAGGAGTTTACTTCCGGGTGTTAGGACGCGTCACTGCGGTTCTCTATTGAAGAAACTTGTGGTTATTTGATAAATACGTGCATTGAAGCGTTTAATCAAGATCCGATATGAGATTTTGGAGACATGTATTCAGTCGAACCAGGAAATTAAAACCGTATAAACAATCGTTTTAACGAAAAGCTTATCTCTGCCTACACATAATGCCTTATAGTCTTATATCACCATACTGATTATATTTTGTTTACTGTAAATTGGGATTTCAACATGTATATTTTCTACTTTTTGTATTGCTGTTTTATTTCTATTTTGAGGGTTAGGGTTATTTTAGAATTGTTTCTTTTTTCTACTCTTAATTTCTCTTATGTGCAATGCTTTGTTTTTATGCTGCTGCAACGCAAACATTTCCCGAATTGGAATCAATAAAGTACATCTTGTCTCATCTTACTGTGAAGTGGAGATTTGTTTCTGATTAACAAATGAATGTCTTGAATGTTGGACTTTCAGAAGTACGTATGAATGAACTATTGAAAAGGGTCACAGCTTTTAACCGAGTATACACGTCTATAAAATGAACACATGATCCCTCGTTTCAAATTGAAGGGCATGAAAATCACCACAACTGGAGTCATAGTTTCCACACAGTATAGCCCAATAAAAGTAGCAGCCGTCCCCGACACCAGATACCTCACAAAATCTTCCACTATCCCCCCTCCCAGTCCAAACCACAGACACTTACCAGCAGCCAGTGGGGCAGACACACCCTGAGCTCGTCTCCTCAGGTCAGTATGAAGGTGAGACAGAGAGACAGACAGACAGGCAGGGTTCATGCTGGAGACTCATAGCAGGGGGAGTGATGAGATGAGGTGGATATTAGTGGATGTTAATGAAGGAGACAACAACCTGTGAACAATGTGACAACCCTCCCCAACACAGCAATATAAAACACTTCCTGTACAGGCTGTATGGAAAACACCATATATTGTTATTTTTGTACATGTTTTTGATCTTAAGTGAATTACATACAATGGAATATCATAGACAGCCATTTTGGGTAAAGCATCTTGCCCAAGGACACTTCTACTGTATATGTTAATAGCAGGGGGGTTGGGCATTGAACCGTTGATCCTCTGATTGGTAGATGCATATTTACCGTCTGAGCAACAGTTGCAGGCGTTGAAATGTACATTTGTAAGTATCTGCAACCTTGTATTGATTTGAATGGTTGTGTTTTGACTGTATGTCCCACAAGCCATTCATCAAAACAGACAACACACAGACACTTGTATGTTCGTATTTCTACACTGTGAGGATTTATGAAAAGCATTCCCTTGCCCCCGAGGGTTTCACTATCTAGTTTGTACAATGTTTGCACAGCCATGTTTAAAAGCTAAATTGTGTATGTACTTTTAAATCCAGGCTGAAGACTTTTCTTTTTGTCGCTGCTTTTAATTGAACTATTCATATCTTAGACTGCACTGTAACTTTTATCCATGTATTTTTTCTTTTAATGTTTATTTCATTAGCTTTTCTTTTTAATGACTGATTTTAAATGCCATTTTCTTAATGTCACTTTGAATTGCCTTGTGTTGAAAAGTGCTATATAAATAAACTTGCCTTGCCTAACACATGTTCCTAATAACCACACTTATTGCCTGTTATTGGCCTCACTGTGGCTGCATCCTATATTTTACACCATCTCTTATCTCAGCGATCTCTGCTCAGATATTGGATACACTTTCAATCACTTACTCCTTAAAAGGCACTCATAGTGAAGCAGTTGGATTGACATATGGATAGAAATGGAAAGTCGTCGAAAAACCTTTGATAGTAGTTTAAATCTCGCCTACTTTCCTGCATCACACGTCGATATTGCAAACTGCCGGGATTGATAGAATGCCTGTTTTAAAAAAAGTTGGACGCTATCCAATGCCCACAAATTGGGAAGTTGAAAAGACATTGGAAAAGCTTTCTGACGCCGTTTAAACGGATTGATAACGGCCCGTCCACACAGCGGCGTGCGTTGAAGCTTCCAACGCTTCTGCCCATTCACTTTGAATGGGGTGACGTCACTTTTAGCAGAACTGCATTGTGGGAAGCGACGTGGAGCGTTGCTCGCTTCAAAAGTTGAGCAATGTTCAACTTTTGACGCCTCGGCAGAAGCGTCAGCCAATCGAATCATATGCCAGTACAAGCTCTAGCCAATCAAACCGCTGCTTGTGTGTCAGGGGCGGGAGATTCATGTGATTGGTTGTTGGTCGAGTTTCAGACACGCCCCCCGGTAAGCGTCAACGCACGCCGCTGTGTGGACGGGCCGTAACACTTTGTTTGAAGCATATTCACCGTCACTTACATTTCTATAATTGTATCAACCTGCCTTACCAAAGCCCTTAGACCAGGGGTGTCAAACTCAATTTTATCTCGGGCCACATTAGCATCATGGTTGCACTCAAAGAGGCAGTTTTGTATATAAGACTATATTAAAATACATATATAAAGATGTAATATATATAAAATAATATTGGATTATTATCGGATAGGATAATAACTTCATAATTACTTTATAATCACTACGTCTGAAAGCAGAAGTCTAGGGCAAATAATTGCAAGTCTCTTCAGTGAGAATGTCACAAAATGATTTCAAAAGAAAAGCCAAATTCTGGAAAAAAAGTCCCAACAAAAAAAAGGTGACATTTTGAAGAAAAAAGTAAAATTTTGAAGAAAAAAGTAAAATTGTGAAAAAAAAAGGCAGATTTTGAGAAAAAAATGAATATGTTGATGAAAAAGAGTCAAATTCTGAGAAACAAGTCAAATTCTGAGTTAAAATGTAGATGCATTGTGGGACATGTAGTTTATGGGCAACGTGCTTCTGTAAATCGGCATGTATAATAAACATATTATATTCTTTCAGAGCTCTTGTGGGGCCACATAAAATTAAGTCACGGGCCTGATTTGGCCCCCGGGCCTTGAGTTTGACACCCCTGCCTTATAATAAGGATAAGTCAAAACGTTGTCAAAATAAGAGTCCTATTGGATGGATAGATGTATAAAAAGAGAACACACACCTTCGATACACACTAATATCTCTCCCAGTAGCAGAGCACCACCTCAGGGTCCAGCACACACTTTACCACAACTCCTTCCGCTCCTCCAATGTTCATTAGCGGTGTGGGTGCAATAATTGTGTGCGGATCAGTTGTAGCACAAAGCCAATCTAATTACTTTTATGGCTGTGCACCGTATTGAGGTCCTGG